ACTGCCACCCATCCTCCCTCATTAACATCATAGAGGCAGGTTTACAACATACAGGAAAATCACACAGAACCAGGAATCATGGCCTAGCCAAATTGGTACACACATTTTTTTGGGGGGACAGAATTCAAACCATGACACTCAGTTAGCTCATAAGGGACTAAAGCTTCTAAAGAAAAAGTCAGCTGGCCTCTACTCAGCTTACACATTTGGGCCATTTTCTTTCTGCCAAAGGTGTCACACTAGACCCAGCCAGAAAACAGCAATCTTTAACTTCCCGCCTCCTAAAACCAAGGAGAATTGAGAGGATTTTTAGGGTTGTGTGGCTATTGTCGGATGTGGATTTTAAACTTTTCATTAATGGCTCAACTCTTACACAAATTATTAAAGGAAAATGCCCCTTTATTCTCAGATGAGAATAAAGCTATTGATAATTTAAAATGTGCTCTGCACTCTGCTCTGGCTTTAGGATATCCCAATTATAATGTAGATTTCTCTCTGTTCATTCATGAGAGGGAAGGGACCGCCCTTAGAGTACTAACACAAAAACATAATGGTCAGCAAAGACCTATAGGGTCCTTCAGGCTGGCAGAGGAGTTCCTCAAATTTGGCCTAAAACCTCCACTAATAACACCCAAAAAAAGTTCACCCTCAAGATGAGACTTAATAGCACAGCAAGGTGAAGAAAACAAACATGAGATGGAATAACAGTGAAGTAAGGTAAACTACGGAGCACTCAACAAGAAGAGGTTAAAAAAAAAAAAATCCCTGCAGAAGAAAGGTTACTCCATTATTGGTGATTAGCGCCACTAGTGGAGGCTTGGTCAAAAGGGGGAAACTGTGGAGGCTAGAAATCTCAGAAGGAGCCCTGGTGGCACAGTGGTTAAGCGCTCAGCTGCTAACTGAAAGGTCAATGGTTCAAACCCACCAGCTGCTCCCTGCGAGTAAGATGTGGCAGTGTGCTTCTGTAAAGATTTACAGCATTGGAAACCCTATGGAGCAGTTCTACCCTGTCCTATAGGGTATCTATGAGTCAGAATTGACTTGATGGCAATGGATTTGTCTGTTTTTTGGTTTAGAAATCTATGTGGAGACTAAAACAAAACGTGGAAACTGGGGACATTTCTGCCAAGTCCGGAGAACATGCCCAAAACCTGGTCTCACAGGGCAAATGTTTAAGACATTAAGTAACCTAAACTTTAGAGATAATAACTAGCTTGTTTCTTTAAGTTCATGTGTAACTAACACTCTTAGAATAGCCCAGCATTCCAGATAAGCTGATTTAGAAACCTGGATCGGCAGGCTCTGATCCCTCAGATCTGCATCATTTGTCTTCTTAGTCAAACACAATTCCAAGGAAGAAATGATTTCAAGAGACATTTTGATGAATATCTGAAAGACTCATCAAAACCACTAGGACTTCTCTGATTTTCTTTGTTCCTTGGACTATAAAAACCCATACTGCCTCATCTCTGGTGCAACACCCGGTCTCATGTTGTGTGTTGTCCAATTTATGAACTGCATGATTGACTAATAAATCTCCAGTATTGTTTTAACTTTATTTCAACTCTTAGAAATTATTCAACAGACACTTTAATTTTTTTTTTTTTTTTTTGCCATCTGGCACAATGTTAAGCTTTGTTGCTTGTCAATACAGGACACTGGAGAGACATTGCAGGAAGAAAGGGGTTTGCTTCCTGATTCTGCTATGCTAGCTCATCAGGCTTCTGCAGCATGATTGGCTTCTCCGAGGCTCCTGTGGCATTTAGTGACCAGCAGCCTCTTCCCAGCCGTTTTGTAGCAGAGTATCTTCAGTGTGACACCTCCCTGTAGAATTAAAAGAGTTAATATATGGACAGCACTTAGACAGGGCCTGGCACAAAATAAGTGCTATCTCATTGTGGGCTATTATTGCCATTTCTGTCACTCCCCCTTTCCGCTATGCCCCAGCCAAACCAAATGTTTTTTGTTGCTCTAGCACACCCTGCTTTCTCTGACACTGAGCCCTCAGGTGGGTCTTCCTTCTGCTCAGAGCAATATTGCCTGCATGATGCTTGCCCACTAATTCCCTCAGGCCTCAGCTGAAATGCTATTTCTTCAAAGAAATCTTTCCTGATCTCTAGACCAAGGGAAATCTTCCTGCTGTAAGCTCTCAAAGCTTTCTCTATTTCACTTCACAAACTTCATCATGATTTATTTGCAGTGATCACTTGTTTAAGGCCTTCCCTGACAACCTATAAGCTCTGAGAGGGTACAGGTCACATCTGCCTGGCTCCCTGCTGACCTCAGCACAGTGCTTAGTACCCTGTAGGAATATCATAAACATTTGTAAAATGAATGGTTGAAGGAATAAGGAACAAAATATACGAAAGGCCTTTATAAAGTTGTAAATCCACGGGTTCCGCATCTGTGAATTCAACCAACCACTGAACGGGGAAAAAAAAAAAAAAGATTCCAAAAAGCAAAACTTGAATTTGCCGCGCACCGAGCATTATGCTAAATCCACACAAATGAAGTGATACGTAGGCAGACCATGCTGTAGCCTGGAGCCTCAGTCTCCCTCTTCATCTCCAGTCCCGTTGGGTTCGCTACTTGTGTTGGGAGCACCCTTTGTTTCTGTGAAAAAAAATTGCTCCTAAAAAGCAATTAAGTGGTCAAAGCAATCCCTCAAAGTCTAAGTGCGAGGGAGTTGAAGAGAGCGAGAGGAAAGAGTTTCAGGCTAGTAAGGGATGGCTGGCTAGCTGTGGAAGTCGCTACAGCTTTAAGAACTGAAAGATCGGGGGTGGGGGCGTGGGGTAATCGGCACTGGCTGATGAACCGGTAGCGTCAGCGTTGCCAGAAGAGCTCAAGAAACTCATAGAAGAGAAAGGCTATCTTCCAGAGCAAATCTTCAATTGTGATGAAACCACTATTTACATGGCATTTACGTTGTATTCGGTATGATAAGTCATCTAGGGATGATTTAAAGTATACGGGAGGATGTGCATAGCTTATAAGCAAAGGGAACTTGAGCATCCTCAGATTTTGGTCTCCTCGGGGGTCCTGGAACCAATCCCCGGAGGATACGGACGGACGACTGTACAAATATTAGGTAACATAGTAGTGAGGTAACAAAATCGGATGATTTTTAGATAATCTAATGTCAAATAAGTAGGAGTTTTTACTGTGTGGAATGAAACTCCTCTCCAGTTGCTATAAAATGTATTGATTCAACTTGATTTTGGAACATGTGTCTTTCAATTAAATGGAAATGAATGCTACAAAAGAACCAGAAAAAGTAAAACACCCCCCACCTCCACCCCCAGGAAAACAGATATAAGTCTCAGATGCCAAAGCTGAAAGAACCATTTCAGCCTGAATAGGGGATCTGCTTATTCCCAGAGAACAGTTTCATGAGCTTAATTCAAGACAGGATTAAACACTTTCATTTGAGTTGGTAAAACCAACTGTGCTAACCTGAGAAATGCATTGACTGAAGTCACTATAACTGATCGAAGTGATCAGGAAGTATACTCTGTTATCAATTAACACTTATCGAACACCAGGAAAAATATGATAAAACAACATGTTCAAACAACATAATTAAAAGCAGATACAATAAAAGTAATTCTCCTGGGAATGTCTTCAAGGTTTGATCGCTTCCGGTAGTTGGATGAAGGAATTCCTGTGAATGAAGGGCTCAAACTTCCACCTGCTTTACCAACTGTCAGGCTCCAACCGCTCCTCCCGTGTGTATTCGGCCTGAGAGTTAGAACATTGCCCATTCACTAATATTCCCTAACCCTGACTGGGGACGGAACTGAATCAGGGTCTGGGTTTGGGCACTGGGAGATAAAGAACTGAGAAGATTTGACAAGAACCTCTAGTGGCCAGAAGGGCTGGGGAGGGCTAGTGAGATGACTCCAATGGCCCTAGACTTTAGATGATTCGAGATTTGTCTTCTAACCGGAGTACGGTTTAACTTTTCTCAGCGTCTGCAGATTTCTTAGGGCCTGTTAGCCCAAGGCCAAGCTTCGGACTACATTTCCCAGAGGGCTTTGCTCCTCCCGGCTGTTGTACTTTAAATTAAGGCGTGTCTAGGAAGAGAAGCCGAAATCCGTGCGAATCGATGGGTCCCACCTTTCCGCTGCTGCAGCAGCTGTAGGTCATTCTTCGCAGAGATGGTTGCGGTACTACTCTTGCTCATCCCTCTCCCCTTTCTCCTGTACATCGCTGCACCCCAAATCAGGTATGTGCAAATTTATTGTCTTCTCTTGCAAAGTCCTTTCGGGGGAACATTAAACCCCACTGAAGCCATTTCTTTTCTTCAAACGAAGAAGAGGAAAACTCCCCAACGGAAGCCCCAAGATGGCCGAGGCGGGGAGGTGGTGGGAGGAGAGGTCTATGCTGTCCTGGATGCTGGGAGGGAGAATTTGGCTGAACCAGGCGGCCGGTCCAGGAGACCTTATTCCAAAGCTGAGCCGGGGGGAAGGAACTGCAATCCCGGGCATCCTGCTTTGTTTCTCCTGGTCCCCCTTTTCCTCTAACCAACCTCTACTTTCCGAGTCTAAGAAACCCCGAAGGCAAGGGTACCTCGAACCTTTTGAGTTTTACAGCTTTAGGGGTTTCAGGCCCTACAATGGAATATATCTCCCAAGACTCATTTTCCCTTAACTCTCACGCCTTGAACCAGCCCCATCTAACTTCTAGCCTTTGAGATACAAAGGAGCGATTCAACTTTTTCCTCTCTGAAACTGCCCTTCGATGAGAATCAGGACATCTGCAGCCCCATTGCTTACTCTCTTGTTGCTATTAGATTCACTTTTTTTCTGGACAAATGTGGTAAAGGAAAGGAATGAAAGGGGAGAGTGTTTTATCATGAGCCCTATCCTGCCTCGGATTAGGAGCATCGGGGGATTCGGGTTATCTTCTGGGAGTGGGGATGAGGAAGATAGAGTTGGAATCGGGATGAGGGGGAGTGGCCATTTGACCAGGTGACAGACGCGGAGAGATCTGCACAACAGGCAGCCTGCTGATTGGTTCTGAGTAGTGAAGGTGGACCAGTGACTGAAGAGATAGACTGGTGAGAAGTCAAAGTCTGAATAGAACTTTGAACTTAATCTCTGTCTTATTTTTAACTCTGTGTGTACATGTGTGGTTTTTGTATGTTTGTTTGTTTTGCACCGGGTTCAAAAGCTTTCATAATATTAACCTTTTTTGTATTGGATTAACTGTTTTTCCAGGCCATAAAATGTCAATTGTGTGCAGATTGGCATACATAGTTTCTTCTTCTGGACTGAGTTTTGTGATTTCCTAAGCCAAATGTGCCTTATAGGAACTCAAACCAAAGCCAGGTACCTGACTAATTAAATATCCATCCAGTTCTGGTACAGCACAGGGTAGCTCCAAGGTTTGTCTTTATAATAGAATCACTTTTGTCTTTGAGCAGGAGCCGAAAACTTTTGTCTTCTTTCCTCCAATCTTCCTTAAACCTACCAAAGGACAACAGTGGAAGGAAGCAAAGTATATCTCCACCTTGGGATCTGAAGATACAGGGAGTCACAGGAACTCCCGACTGAGGGGAGGGGAGTGAAGAACTGATGAGCTGTCCTCTCACTGCAGGAAAATGCTGACCAGTGGAGTATGTACATCATCTGTCCAGCTTCCTGGGAAAGTAGCTGTGGTCACTGGAGCCAACACAGGCATTGGGAAGGAGACAGCCAAAGAGCTGGCTCAGAGAGGCAAGTTCATCTGCTTCTAGTTCCCTCTTGGGTGGTGCACACGGTTAAGTGCTCAAACACTAACCAGTTGGTGGTTTGAACCCACCCAGAGGCACCTCAGAAGAAAGACCTGGCAATCTGCTTCTGAAAAGTCACAGTTTTGAAAACTGTGGAGCACAGTCCTACTCTGCAACACATGAGATCATCATGAGTCAGAATCAACTTGATGGCAGCTGGTGGTGGTGGTGGTGGTGCTGCCATTTTACCGCTCATGGTGATGGTCATTCTCTTCCTTTCCTACCCATCTGGGAATTCAAGAACACTCCAAGTGCCCCACTGATCTGGTCTGAACCTAGTACAATGCTCCACTTACAGTGGGCGCTTTATAAATATGTATTGCTTTATTTGTCTTTCCTCATTGGCTCATCAGATACCCACTTTGTGAAGTAGGGAAAAAAATTCCTGCTTTCTTAAAAAACAGAAAATAACATTAAACATTGATGTTGTTGTTGTTAGGTGCCGTCAAGTCAGCTCCGACTCATAGTGACCCTCTGTACAACAGAACGAAACATTGCCCAGTCCTGTGCCATCCTCATAATCATTGTGATGCTTGAGCCCATTGTTGCAACCACTGTTCAGTGTATCTTGTTGAGGGTCTTCCTCTTTTCCACTGACCCTCTAATTTACCAAGTAGGGACTAGTCTCTCCTGATAGCATGTCCAAAGTACATGAGACAGAGTCTCACCATCCTTGTTTCTGAGGAGCATTGTGGCTGTACTTCTTCCCAAGAGAGATTTGTTCATTCTTCTGGCAGTCTATGATATATTCATATTCTTTGCCAACACCGTAATTCAAAGGCATCACTTCTTCAATCTTCCTCATTGTCCAGCTTTCACATGCGTATGAAGCGATTGAAAATACCATGGCTTGGGTCAGGCGCACTTTAGTCTTCAAGGTGACATCTTTGCTTTTGAACACTTTAAAGAGGTCTTTTTGCAGCAAATTTGCCCAATGCAATGCGTCATTTGATTTCTTGACTGCTGCTTTCACGGGCATTGGTTGTGGATCCAAGTAAAATGAAATCCTTGACAACTTCAATATTTTCTCTTTTTATCACGATGTTCCTTATTGGTCAAGTTGTGAAGATTGTTTTCTTTATGTTGAGGTGTAATCCGTACTGAAGGCTGAGGTCTTTGATCTTCATCAGTAAGTGCTTCTAGTCCCCTTCGCTTTCAGCAAGCAGGGTTGTGTCATCTGCATATCACAGGTTGTTAATGAATCTTACCCCAATCAGGTTGTTAATAAATCTTCCTCCAATCCTGATGCCTTCATATAGGCCAGCTTCTCAAATTATTTGGTCAGTATACAGATAGCATAAATATGGTGAAAGGATACAACCCCAACACACACATTTCTTAATTTTTAATTATGCAATATCCCCTGTTCTGTTCAAACGACTGCCTCTTGGTCTGTGTCCAGGTTTCACATGAGCACAGTTGACTGTTCTGGAATTCCCATTCTTGTGCAATGTTATCCATAATTTGTTATGATCCACACAGGCGAATGTCTCTGCATAGTCAATAAAACATTGATATTGGGCCTATAATACCCACTCAAAAATAGAGCTGACAGTTTGTCTCTTATATATGTTGATTGACAGGAGCCCGAGTATATTTAGCTTGCCGGGATGTACAAAAGGGGGAATTGGTGGCCAAAGAAATCCAGACCAAGACAGGGAACCAGCAGGTGTTGGTGCGAAAACTGGACCTTGCTGATACTAAATCTATTCGAGCCTTTGCTAAGGGCTTCTTAGAAGGTAAGTGTTTAACTGGAGACTGTGACATGAGTCTTGTGATCGACATAGCAGATAGCTAAAATAAGAAGATCCCTCTGCCTCTCTAATACATAGAAATGCTGGATAAAATACAACCACAAACTTTTGATACATAACGGAACTCACTAATAACAAAAGGAAATCCCCAGGACGTGAAAACTAAGAGAATTTAATGGAGGTAGATATTATCTTACAACAGCATTCAGGAGACATAACTTTGCAGTGTTCTTTCAGCTTGGGTATTCAGATGAAGAAATAGTGATTGTTAAATAGGTGAAAAGGCTTTCACCCTTCCTTTACTTTGCAATTATTTCATTACTGGTGGGGCTGAATATATTTGTGTCTTCCTTAGCCACCTACTTTATTGCAGATTGTTCAAGGCCTTTGCTTTTGCATATTGGGGTCTCGGTGCTTTTATTTTTGTTTGGATTGCATTCTATCAAACAAAGAATTTCAGATTTTTCCTACCAATTTCTCTGTTTTTTTAGTTCTTTTCTACATGTATATTTGCAGGGAATGTGTGAAAGTTTATAATTTTGTGTGGTCAAATCTATCAGTCTTACATATTGTGATCACCTTCTTGTTTTTACACTTAGAAAGTATTTTTTTGTATCCTTTGAATTAACAGATCACTTTTTATGTGTATTGCCATCTTGTTTTCGTATCTCTGTTATTCCTTTTTGTGCCTTTGTGTCTTTTGTGATTAAATCTGTTTTTAAAAGTAGGATCACCTGAAACTATGATTTGCAAGGCATTCTTCCTTATCATTTGACTAAAAGCATATATCTTTATATAGCATGAAAATTATAGCTTTAGATACTGCTTTTACCTACATTTTTTTAAATCTGTGTTTTTACAGTGTTTTATTTCCAGGTCCTTTCCAGTTTAATATTAAATTAGCGCCCATGTTGATGTCACTGTATTATTTTTATTTTAAATCTTTTCTTTCAGAAATTAGTTTCAGCCCTTAATTCAATTTTGCTTAATACATTTGTGTTGGAACCACTGTATTTAACCTGGTCTCATTCTCCATGAAGTTTTTATTTCATAAATTCTTATTTTCTCTTAAATCTTTTGTTTCTGTATGCATACATACATGTTTACACACTTTTACAAATACACAATAAATAGAAACAATGCACAAAAAACAAAATCAGAGAGAGAATTTAAAAAGTCATAGCAATGAGCAGTAGCGGAAATGGAAAATCTCTTAGGAGTATCAGAACTCAAAATAGGCCTTTAGGTTTGGTGTCTGGGGACCAACCACCAACACAAAGACAGGAGATGAGGCGTCAGGCCCTTGAGAGTTGGAGAGCTGAAGCTGAGGCTCCACATAAGGTTGGAATTCACAAAGGGCCACCTAGTCCATGAGATAGGGGCTAGAAAAACTGGCCACCAGCGCAGGGACATGACAAAGAAGCTCACCATCCCCTCAGAGCATGGACGGATCAAAGGTCATCTGCAAGAAGTTAGAACCTCAAGCTAGGATCAGGTGTGGGGTCTGAATTCACACCACCAACGATGTGAGAATCTTGAACTGAGAAATTAACATAAAAACACTGAGTAGCTCCAGAATTAGAAAGATTGGGAAGGCCATTTGGTAGTGTAAGATGGAATTTTGTTCTGTAGTAGAAGTATGTAGAATTTGACAAAAGTCTTAAGATGAAAGACAATACAAAGTATGTATAAAGGGAAAATGGAAGAAAGATTGAAGTCCCACATCCCCATATTTAAAGGCTGGGCATAGGGCAGATTATCACAGCAGAGGCAAATCCAAGAGCACTCTATCAGCATACCCCCTCAGAACCCAGAGAAGTAGGCCTCCCAAGGAAAACAACTTCCTTTGTTATGAGCTTATAATCAGAAATTACAAACCACATGAGAAAATGAACCATGAGAGAGTCAGCAGATACAACAAAGAGGCAAAACTAGTATAGGGGTAGGGGGGCTGAATTCCAGTGGCAAGGTTGCATACAGAACATTCTCTTTTCTCTTCCTTTGGACTTTTCCCATTCAAATGGGAAGTCTTTATACTGGGAGAGGTGCACAGAACATTCCCCAGAAACAGTGAGGAGCTCCTGAGTTAGAAAGATTGGGAAGGCCATTTGTAGTGTAAGATGGAATTTTGTCCTGTAGTAAAAGTATGTAGAATTTGACCAAAGTCTTAAGATGAAAGACAATACAAGATAAGTATAAAAGGAAAATGGAAGAAAGATTGAAGTCCCACATTCCCATTTTCAAAGCCTGAGCACAGGGCAGATTTCTAAGATGTAACAGCCATGGTTGACCACTTCCACACTCCATCTCCTCTTCACTGCAGAAGAAAAGCAGCTTCACATTTTGATCAACAATGCAGGACTGATGATGTGTCCCTACTCCAAGACAGCAGATGGCTTTGAGATGCACATGGGAGTCAACCACTTGGGTAAGAGATCTCGCCTCATCAGAAATGTAGAGCGAACCTGAAGATCTCCTTGGAAAACCTAAGGGTCAGATTGAGCCTTGTTTGTGTGATGTGATTGGATCTCAGGGCTAGAGTAGGCCATATGTGAGTAACAGTATGGTCCTGCCTAAAAGCTGAGGGATGAACTTGAGGATCACTTGAGGTCCTGCCTTCGTTTCCATCTGTGATTTTGATTCAGTTTCCCCTTACATTTTTGAACAACCTAATTGGATCGGGGGCTGTGTTGCCTTCTGAGTAGTGATCTGGTGACCAGCATCAGATAGAGGCCTCATGCTCCTAAATTGTGATGTTAACCAAAGTTGAAATGAGACTGGACTCCAGATTTGACATAATCCAGACCTACCCCATATAAGGAGGAATCTTGTGTCTTTGGCTATTCCTGTTTCCCTAAACCCTCACTATACTTGTTCTCTAGTTGATAATGAAATGTTGAGATGAAAGACCTTATTCCATAGCTGAGCCCTGCTCCTCTACCCACTCCTTGCACATTGGCACTGAACTCTGTTAATTCTACTTTTTTTCCCCTCACAGGTCACTTTCTCCTGACCCACCTGCTGCTAGAGAAATTGAAGGAATCAGCCCCATCAAGAGTAGTGAATGTGTCTTCCTTAGCACATTACCTAGGAAGGATCCACTTCCATGACCTACAGAGCGAGAAATTCTATGAAGCCGGTTTGGCGTACTGTAACAGCAAGTTGGCCAACATTCTCTTCACCCAGGAACTAGCCCGGAGGCTAAAAGGTGGGTTTGGAAGAAATGAGTGTGGATATGAGTCATTGGGAGTAGTTAGAACCCAAAGGGATAGAAAATACTTCTGGAGCCTGATACCTAGACAGGACCTGCTTCCATGACTACATTTGGGCCCACTTTAGTAACTGAAGATTGGGCTGCAGGGGATGGGGAGATTCAAACTGAGTCTGAAGGCTTGGCTTTATCATTTACTAACTGTGACCTATAGCAAATTACTTAACTTTCAAGATTTATTTCCTCATATATAAAACTGGGCTACTTCACAGGTTATTGTTGTAATTAAATCAGGCCTCATGAGCAAGTTAAGGCTTTTCCGTCATGGCCAGATTGTGTAGAAGGGAGTGGTAGAGCTGGGATTTGAAATTGGTGAGTCTGGCTGCAAAGTCCGTGCCCTTAACCACTAGATTATGCTGCCTCTCATAGTCAGTCTAGAGTTAAAGGAGAGATTTGGGCTGTAGATAAAAATGTAAAGGCCATAAAGGTATAAACGGGGAGTTTAATGAGCCATGAGAACTCCCAACATTTAAAGTTTGGGTAGAAGATGATGAACTGGTCCAAGAAAATGAGCTTAGCAGCTAGAAAGGTGTGGAAAACCAGAAGAGGTGAGGGGTCACGGAAGATGGAAAAGAAGACTTTAAGACGGGAGCAGTAAACAAGGTCATGTGCACCTGAGAGGTCAAGTCCTGGCTCTGCTGCTTCCTAACAGAGTTAACCTCTCTGAGCCTTAACTTCCTAATATTTGAAACGGGGCTATAAATTACTGTGAGGGGTACTTGCGATATCACTGTGGGCAGGGAGTCCACGTGTGGGGGTCCCATGTTTATTCATGTTCTTTGCTGTCTTTGGCTGGTCAGCAACATCAAGTCCTGTCTTCTCTCTTCCTGGCACTCCCTGACCAGGCTCTGGCGTTACAACGTATTCTGTACACCCTGGCACAGTCAAATCTGAATTGCCTCGATACTCAACTTTCATGACGTGGATGTGGTGGCTTTTCTTCTTCTTTTTGAAGACCCCTCAGCAGGGGGCCCAGACCAGCCTGTACTGTGCTTTAACAGAAGGCCTTGAGATTCTGAGTGGGAAACATTTCAGGTATGAATGCGTATCTGTTTTTAAAGATGAGATTTTATTGCCCAAAGGAAGTAATTTGGATTTGTCTAGTATACTGTGCCCTTTTTAAAAAGTACATGGCCTAATACAGTTTTGTCTCTTGGCTCTAGGGTTTTTACCTTTTGATTTGACCCATTCACATTTTCTGTGGTAACTGCTAGGTTTGAGTTTATTCATGCCACTTTTTATAATGATGATTATGCTTTTTGGTTGTTTGTTTTCTTTCTATCTTTTATGTCAGTTCAATTTTTTTGTTTTGTTTATTTCTTTTTGGACTCTTCTATTTTTTTACATTAAAAAGAATTTGAATCCATATTTCCATATTGTCTACCCTCAGGACTAAAATAGTATCTATAAACTCATTTCTTGAGTAGAGTTAAAAAAATTTATTGTAGACAATTTTGTACACAGGAGTAGACAGAATACCGTATTGAATTTCCATAAACCCATAATCTGAGGAACCCTGATGGCGCAGTGGTTAAGCACTCGGCTGCTAACTGAAAGGTCCTCTGTTCGAACCCACCAGCCTCTCCACGGGAGAAAGATGTGGCAGCCTACTTCTGTAAAGATTTACAACCTTGGAAACGCTATGGGGCAGTTTTACTCTGCCCTAAAGGCAGGGCGGATTAACCAGTAAGCACCGTATGCGGTATGCGGTATGCGCTGATTTACAGTAAGCAAGGTATACACAGGCTTAATTGTGTTTACTTACTAATCTGTAGTACACAATTTCACATGGGTTTCACCACATCTTTGATGTGAAAAACAGGTGAAGTTGTGCACTGCAGATAAGTAAGCGTACCATGCATACCTTGCTTATTGGGTAATCATCCCTGCCTAAAGTCGCTATGAGTCAGAAGTAGTCTCAACAGCAGTGGGTATTTTGGTACACCGATAATCTACCTCCTCAACAGCTGTTAACCTATGGCCAATTCTTTGCCATCTGCTACCCCCTTCCCGTGTTTCCCCTCCCATTATTATTTTGAAGAAAATCCCAGGCATCACGTAAGATCAAAATTTTAACAAGATTTTGTTGAAAGAACCTGAAATTTTAGAGAAGGGATTGTAGCTAGAAATAAAACTGGAAAGAAAGGTAAACAGTCCAGTCATGGAAGGCCTACAGTGCTAGATCTATGGAGGAGACACAGCAGGTATTTCAGTGGAGAGAGACACAATCTGGTCTGTGCTTTAGAAAATCATCTCTGGTGACTTTGTTTAATGAATGAGAGATAATAAGTTTTTGATTTAGGATAATGACATTTAGAATGAAAATAACGTGTCATACTTTCTTAGTGCTACTATAACAGAAATACCACAAGTGAGTGGATTTAACAAACAGAAGTTCATTTTCTCACAGTTTAGAATCCTAGAAGTCCGAATTCAGGGTGCTGGCTCTCTGGGAAGGCTGTCTGTATCCATTCTGGGGGAAGGTCCTTCTTTCTTCACCTTGTATTCCTCAGTTCCTTGGCAATCTTCATGTGGTGTGGCATCTATCTTCCCTCATCTGTGCCTGCTTCTGTGCCTCATCTCCTTTTTTATCTCAAAAGTGAATGGCTTAACCTTCATCTTAAGTGAGAATGACAGCACAATTAGAAGAGCGTAGTCAATGTCACTTAAATGTGTATGTAAAAAAATTTTTTGAAATGGCGTATCTTTGGCTATGTGTATTTTCACCAAAAAAAAAAAAAAAGTTGAGAATTTAGAGGGTTAAAATGTTGTGGGGTTGTTAACCAATGTCATAAAACAGCATGTGTGCTACTGTTACATGAGAAACTACCTGTTCTGTAAGCCTTCACCTGAAGTACAATTAAATAAAAAAAAAAGTGAATGGCTTAAAACATACCATACATGATACGGCCTCATTAACATAACAAAGAAAGCCCTATTTGCAAATGAGGATAACATCCACAGGTAAAGGGGTTAGGATATTTGGCAGGAGGGGCACAATTCAGTTCATAACAGAATGGTTAAATGAGAGAGGACTCTGGCTAACTTAAGTGTAAAGAGAATTTACTGGAATATTATGGGGTGCTCACAGGTAAGACTGTAGGGCTAGGCTTAGAACAGTCAGGAGTGGCCCGTCAGCTGGCCGGCACACTGCTGCTGTAGTGAGTGAACGCCAACCATCTTCTGGTTTTGTTGCTCACCATCTACTTTACAGGAGGGAGCATTGGACCCCCTTCTTCCCACCTCCCTGCCTTTCATTCCTCCATCCCTAATCCCTCGGCTAGGGGAGGAGAGGCACCTGATTAAAACTATATCCAAGGGAAAGAAGTAATTCCACAAAGAAATCAGGTTGCTAGTACCAAAAAAAGGTGGAATGGATGTTCAGCCAAAAAATAACAATCGTCCACTACATAATAAACCTGGCTCTGTACCTGCTGATTGTGGGTTACCTATGAGACATATTAGCAGAAATACATAGCAGATAGTTGGAAATGTGTATCTGAAGTTTAAGAAGAAGAAATTTATATTAGTTTGCTGGCTCCATATTACACACTGGAATGATATTTTAGGGGTGACTATGGATTCACCTTCCCTGGAGATTTTAAGAAAAGAATAAACAACCCCTTTATCTTGGTTTTGACTGAGTAGTTTAAAGAAAGTCAGCCTCAAATCCATGATTTTGGTCATTATTGAATTGACTTTCATTTTACATTTTTTTATTGAGATAAAATTAATATAACATAAAATCAATAACTTTAAAGTGAACAAGCTAGTGGCATTTAGTATATTTACAATGTTGTACAGCCGCCACCTCTGTCAAGTTCCAAACATTTTCATCACCCCAAAAGGAAACGCTATACCAATTAAGCACTTGCTCCCCATTCCCTTCTCCCCCCAGCTCCTGGCAACTACCAGTCTGATTCGACCTCTATGGATTTACCTGTTCTAGATATTTGATATAAATGGAATCACACACTACATGACCTTTTGTGTCTGGCTTCTTTCACTTAGTTTTTAAGGTTTATCCATGTTATAGCATACATCACTACTTCATTCCTTTTCATGACTGAATAATATTCCATTATATGTATATATCACAATTTGCTTATCCATTCATTTATTGGTGGACATTTGGGTTGTTTCCACTTTTTGGCTATTAATAATGCTGCTATGACCACTTGTGTACAAGTTTTTGTATAGACATATGTTTTCATTTTTCTTGAGTATATTCCTAGAAGTGAAATTGCTGGGTTATATGTAACTTTCTGTTTAACCATTGAGGAACTACTGCCAGTCTGTTTTCCAGAGTGACTGCACCATTTTACATTCACATCAGCAGCATATGAGGGTTCCCATTTCTCCACATCCTTGCCAACACTTCCTTTTTTATTGTAGCCATCCTAGTAGGTGTGAAGTGGTATCTCATTGTGGTTTTGATTTGTTTCCCTGATGGCTAATGATATTAAGCATCTTTTCATAAGTTTATTGTCCATTTGTATTTCTTTTTTAGAAAAATGTCTATTCACATCCTTTGCCCATTTTTAAATTAGATTATTGTCTTTTTATTGTTGAATTGTAACCATTCTTCATATATTTTAGATACAAATCCCTTATCAGATAATATGATTTGCAAATATTTTCTCTCATTCTATGAGTTCTCTTTTCACTCTCTCAAAGATGTCCTTTGAAACAGATAAGTTTTTAATTTTCATGATGTCCAATTTATGTTATTTCTTTTGTCACTTGTATTTTAAGTGTCATGTGTAAGAAATAATTGCCTAACCCAAGGTCATAAAGATTTATATCTATGTTTTCTTCTGAGAGTTTTATGGTTTTAGCCCTTACATTTAGGTCTATGATCCATTTGGAGTTAATTTTTACATATGGTATGAGGTAGCGATCCAACTTCATTCTCTTGCATGTGGATATCCTTTTGTCCCAGCACTATTTGTTGGAAAGAATGTCCTTTTCCCCACTGAATAATCTTGGCACCCTTGTTGAAAATCAGTTGGCTGTAAATGTATGGATTTATTTCTGGCTCTCAATTCTGTTCCATTGGTCTATATGTCTATTCTTATGCCAATACCACACTGTCTTGATTACCGTAGCTTTGTAGTAAGTTTTTAAATTGGCCAGATGATCTTCTACATATACTGATCAACACCAAAATCCCACTGGAAATATAAAAAACAATGACCAATGAAGTGCAGATGCCATAACTACACTTTAAGTGGCTTTTACTGTTGTATTTGAATAATTTTTATAGCATGTCATAGCTTACGAGGCACTTTCGTGTCCCTTATGTCATTTGCTTTTCACCGTAACCTTATGAAGAGTGTTCAGTTATGCTTAGTGCAGTGGAGGATGCAGAGACTTAAGAGGCCAGGTCGATTCTACAGGGACAGAGCCTTTTGGTTCTCGGTGATGGTCTTTTCACTCGGAAATGGCAGGTTATGGCCTCTGGTAGTGCCGTGGGTTCCCTTAAGCAGAAGTAATATACTTAATAAGGTTTGTTTTGTAAATTTGAAGACATCTTAAAGTGGTGTTTCTCAAACTTTAGAGTGTAACAGTCATCTGGAAAACTGGTTAAAGCACAGGTTCCTGGGCCTCAATCCTAGAGAATCCGATTCAGTAAGTCTGGAGTAGGGTCTGAAAATTTATGTTTCTAGCAAGATCCCAGATGGTGCTCCTACTGCTGGTCCATGGCCCACACATTGAGTAGCACTGCCTTAATGGACATAGTGTTATAAGTTTGCTTTGTGTGGTTATTCAGACTTGTCAACTCTCCATTTCACCTTCAGAATTTGCTTAAAATGTCCAAGATAACAATTTTTTTGAAGTAGTATACTTTTAAAAGTTGCTTCTCACATGACTTCAAACCTTGCGACCCATTCACTCAATCATTTAAAAAAAATAAATAAATTCATTGAATACTTGTACTAGAGTCAGGGAATATAAAAGTGAGTAAGAGGATTGTCCTTGAGGATATTTTCTGGGTGGGTCAGAGTTGGGATCCCCCTCCTGCATTTAATGGGAATTGTCTTAAAATAATTGCAACTAAAGCACTGAAGAGAAGATATATGGAACACCTGGTACCTTGTTACCATTTTTTTCTGCTATCACCTTTTCCTCCCTTTGTGGTTTATGAAGCTGGCTTTACTTGTCATACTAGCCTAAAAACAGTTATATAACTGTAGGTAGGCCAGAAACAAGAAGTGTCTTTTCCCACTGTAAGCACTGGTGACCTGTGCAAATAGCAGAATCTCAGCTACATGACACTCTACAAGGCCCTGTAGAATGGACCTTACAGACTCATTGAACAGGCTGGACATACAGAAGTGTCAGGCACTGGTACTGCAACTAAATATGTACATACAAAGGGGACTATAAAGACTAAATGAAATGCATTATATATCAAACAAAGCATTCTCCTGTCTAGTGAGGAGGTCTAAAAATGGTAATTATTATTTTCTATGGGGTAAAGATTGGAGGATCAAGACACAAACTCTGTTCAGTGAATATCTGTACTAGATTCAGAGAATGCAAAAGTGAGTAAGAGGATTGTCCTTAAGGAAATTTTCTGCGTGGGTCAGAGTTGGGATACCCCTCCTGCATTTAAGGGAGACTTTCTTAAAATAAGTGGAACTATAGCACTGAAGAAGAGGGCAGACATGAACCCTGTGGAGCACCTAGAGGTGCTTCATCCCTAGGTGTCATCCCTAGGTTGTTTTTCTGTCATATTCCTTTATCCCAGGCAGAGAGCAGACTCCATCCTTAACACTGTGTTTTAAGCCCCTCTCTTTCTCTTCTAGTGACTGCCAGGTAGCAAGGGTCTCTGCCCAGGCTCGGAATGAGACAGTCGCACGGCGGCTGTGGGACATCAGCTGTGACCTCCTGGGCATCCCACTGGACTGACAGGTGGTGGCAGCCAGACCTAAGAGCGGACTACTCAGCACTCCCTCTCAAAGTGACTCTTCTAGGTGGCCAAAAGGGAGCAAAACCTTCCAGCCTTGCGTGCTTGATGTCTGGTAAAAGCCCAGTACACTGCCAGATTCATCTACACACTTTGCATTTGTCCAGATTGATTTTGCTCCTGATACTGCCAGAATTACTAGAGATGTCATAGGATAAGAAGACCCTCATATGACCTGCACAGCTCATCTTTTTCCCTCTGAAACCTACTACCTAAAGGAATTCAAGCTATGGCAGGGTTGACTCATAGGAATTTGGACAGGCTTCTACCTTCTTCATTCACTATGTAGTCCCTGCCAACTAACCAATCTTCACTTCAAGAGAGCCACACTGCAGCCTCAGCTAAACCCCCGGAGTCACAGTGGCTTGGCTCAGGAGCAGGGCTTATCTCTCACCTTTTGAAGAAAACTGTCACCACACCAATATTCAGAGTCTCTCAGGAAACTCTTAACTGAATATGGATTATGGAGTGGCCTCATCTCTGACCACCTGGAGCCAATCCTGTTAAGACACTTTCCCACATCTAAACTACACAACTGCCTTTTCTAAGAAGGTTGTGGGGTTTGGTTTTAATTTGAGGGGAGGCGGAAATAAAGGTGAAGTTTACAATGTCATTTTCCTGCTGTTTCTCAGACCAGCAAAGAGAGGATTAAGGGGACAGTTTGAAAAGACAGGCCACCTAACTTCCATTACTGACCCGACTCCTTTCTGTGCCTTAGTTTCTCTTAGAAAACCAGAAGAGGGGAAAGGATATTTGGTTATTGTCATTGAATATATCTTTGTGTTCTTGGGTAACTATGCAATTGGGAGTATTTTCACAAAATTCAAAATAGCTGTAGAGGAACAGTATTAAAGTGGGCCCTAGTACAGGTAAATGATCAGAGATGGAGCAAACCAGTGTCATTTGGTCTCTGCTGCAAATGAGTAGAGCTGCAAAGCAAAGCAGACCCTGCATATGTTGGTAACTACCTACTAAGAAGCAAATGGATAACAGGAAAGAAGTCCAAAAAAAGGAAGAATCCTGGGAGATAATGCAAGCAATGAAGGGAATAATTGAGAATACGAAACAAAAAAAAAGAAAAAAAACAGCTGTATAACAATTGAGAGTGGGCACCTAAGTTAGCAAGACTGATGAGATAAAATTGTCTTAACTCGCACCAGTCAATGTGGCAGGAAAACAAAACCAAAAAAAACCAGTTCCTATACAGAAAAAGTATCGTTGACTACATTCAATTTTAGGGCATTTCCTTACCATATCTTGACAAGGTTAAAATGTTAAAATGTCAATTTACTTTAAAAAAAAATATATTTGGAGAACTTTTGTCAAAAGAAATGCTGCCAAAGGAAGTCAGAGGAATTGGTAATGTTCCCATCACTTGTTTGGAGTATAAAACTCCAATAGAATTTGTGACTTTCTGGGACTAACAATTTATATGTTTAACTTTCATGGGGAAAATAGTTACAGGACCACAACCTCCACTTCCTATTACAGTCATGCACCACATAACGTCCATTCGGAACACATCTGACTGCATACATGTCCATGTTCCCATAAGGTTATAATAGTTCTGAAATCCCAATTGGAGAACGGGACGTAGTGAACATAACTGGACGCAGCCAAGGCAACAGCTTCCCACACCCAACACATATATCTCATGTCTCTTGTATACAAAGCAATCGCGCTGCCAGGCGTATAATGGTGCAGTAAGTACATATATAACCTATTATACAGATGTTTTGATAGTCATAATAAGTGCTTATGTTACTGGCTTATGTATGTACTGCACTATACTCTCTATCATCCCTGGATTACAAACCAACCCCTGTAAAGCCTATTATATTAAAAATTTGAGGTACATACAGTGGTTTGTGATAACAAACGTGTGTTACTTTGCAACGCACGTCAAAATATTACTGTTACTCTATTATTATGTTAAAGATGTTTTAGTGTATCTGGAAGTGTTTCTTTAATGTTTTTTATCCATAGAAAGCTACCCTATATACTAAGACAAACATTTGACTAATCGATGTTAGATACGAACCGTACCTAACCATTCCAACTTAATGTACAAATTTGACTTAAAGACAGACTTAGGAACAGAACTCGTTCGTAATCCAGGGTCTGCCTGTATATAATACAGTGTTCACACAATGTCAAAATCACATAACTTCCTGTTTCACAGACTGTATTGTGGATGTTAAGCGACACATGACTGTATTTGTAAATTAATAATATTCGGTTGAAATTGTTTTGAGACCATTGAACTACGTAAGTGGAAGAGGTCGTATTATGGAAAAGCTAGAAATCTTTTGTTTTGATGATAGTGCAGTAGAATAACTGAATTACTATTTTATTTATATTGAACTCTCAATAGCAAATAAAAATTCTTTTTGATTACCGTGTTTTTATTTACCAAAATAAAAACTCTGAGAATTAATCAAAAGAAGAAAACACTTTTCATTATTATAGTTATGTAATCATTTCTCATTCTAAAGGATAATTTGTTCCAGAGTCTAAATACAACCTCAAGTGGCCATTAATTTGCATTTTGTGATAATCTGATTATTTATTCATCCAATTCCTACTTATTTTTTTATAACACTGTTCAGAAATCACTTTTACCCAGGTTTCTTTATCATCCCAGGCTGTTATCTCTCCTTTTTGCACCTGCCCCTTTATTCCCATAGCACAATATATTACAGCATTATGAGACTACAGTACACTGCCACTAACAACCTCAGACTTTGTCATTTCTCTATGCTCAGTGCATATCAGGAGCTCAACAAAGGTTTGTTGAATCAATGGCAAATGAACCTATCTAATAAAAATAAGGATCTAAGAGATATAAATCACCAAAGCATTTCCCCCTGAACATTCATATACTTTTTTAATGTTCATGGGCAGTTTAAATATTTCAGAATGTGCTCCTTAGGCAAACCATGGAATCAGTGAAAACAGGAACTTCCTGCCACGGAACCATAAAGTATTTACTTACACCTATAGAGTGCAAGAAAGTACAGTAACATATTTAAAATTTCCACTTAGTGGCACATGAGACCTGATGAAGCCGGGTCCATCTTCCCCACCAGATTATAAAGTACTAAAGGGTAGAGAGTAAATTTGTTTTATTCACCGACATATGCCCAAATCCCTGCACAATGCCTTCGCTTAACACCTGTGGAGTGAACGTATGCACTCGGCAGCCTGCTGCACTAGGCAACCCCAGCCGCTAGAGACTGAGCGCAGACTTTAGGATCACACTCCACGGGTTCACTTCTGAAAGCGCGTGACGCTGCCAGTAAGTCACCTGACCTGCCCAGTAAAAGTGCTTTACCGGCTATGGCAGGAAGGACCGTAGCCTGGCTATCTTTCGAGGGTTGAAAGCTAAGATTCTAGTCAGGACGTATACTGAGGGCGGCAGGACAGCAGGTAAAGTGAGACGACGCTGAAGAAGACGTTTTGATACCTAACTCTGCGACTCAGGAGCGGCCTCTGGCGGAACCACCCACCTCTGACAACGTTTGACGCCGGGTTGGAGCGTTTTCTACGCCGAACTACAGCCCCCGGCATGCACTGCAGCGCCCACCCCTCGCTGGCTGGCTGGGCCCGGGAGGCAGGCGGCGGTGCTGCCCGTCCTACGGGTCTACTCGGGACCTTCCACTGTGACTCCCCCGCAACCCTGGGCCGGGTATTTCCGGGACTCTGGGACTGAGGTTCGTCCCAGTGCGGCATGTTCCTCCTCCAGCACCCGTCTGAGCTGCGCAGCTCGCTGGATTTTCCGTCAGGCTTTCACGCCTGGCACTCCCAGGACGATAGGCAAGAGGGAGTGGGCGTTCCGGCTCGGGAGGACCCCGCCGCAGGTCCCGGAAGCGCCTAGTCCAGGGCGGCGGTGGCGGTGGTCGCCGTGATGGCTGTGGGGTTAGGTTGACTGCCGGGATAGGAGCGGGCCCTGCACCCGAATATCGGCGACCGCTGCTCAAGCGCGGCCTGCAGCATGGCCACCTCCGCCGCCTCCTCAGAGCATTTCGAGAAGCTGCACGAGATCTTCCGCGGCCTCCATGAGTACCTACAAGGGGCGCCCGAGCGGCTGCTGGGGACGGCGGGGACCGGTGAGGCTGGGGCGGGCTGCGCCTGTGGGGAACTCGGCCCCTCGCGCTCTTGGAGGAGGAGCCCTCTTCTTTCTGCTCCCCATCTCAGACACGCCCTCGGTGCTGGCTGGGACCTTGCGCCCTGGATATTCCTCCTGTCACTTCAGGTGGATCGGAGACGTTCTCAGGAATGGGCCTCAGGGTGTCATCTCCCTGAGATTCTCCCACTTGATCTTCTGGTGGCCCTTTCAAAAAAGTCTCATCTTATTTTTTCACTGTGACAATTAAGATCACAGTGGTTCTTAAATCTGTGGTCCTGTATTTCAGTAGAACTGATTTCTTTTGCAGCTCTATGTATTTTATGCATTTTAAAAGTATTCTCAAGAGAGGTCCGTAGTTGTCATCGGACTGGCAAAGGATACGTGGCTCAAAAAGGGTTAAGAACGCAGACGAGTCAGAAATTTGATAGTTATTTCGGGGAGTTGGTAAATAGCAGTTTTTGTTGTTGTTCTTTTGCGGGGGAGGGTCGTGGGTGGTCTTTAAAACCAAGATTGTGGAGTTTACATGTGCCTATCGTGAACTGCTGACTGGTTAGACTGTTTCTTGCCCCTTGATTTCAAGATTCAGGTTGCTGCAAGCTCTGCCTGATGTAAGTAGAATTTTCCAGTTAAATCCATAGGAAGACCCAGCTTGCCAGAATTCCTTGCTTCTAGATACAGATAGGTCTTGTTGGCAACAAAGCTAAGACTTTGTATATTGTTTTCAGTGTCTCTGATGAGAATGAGTGAGGCGTTGGTGGTTTAGTGGTAGAATTCTCTATGCAGGAGACCCAGGTTGGATTTCCCAGCCAATACACCTCATGCACAAGCACTTCTGTCAGTGGAGTCTTGCATGTTGCTCTGATGCTGAACAGGTTTCAATGGAGCTTCTAGATTAAGACAGACTAGGAGGAAAGGCCTAGTGATCTACTTCTGAAAATTAGCCAATGAAAACACTATGGATCACAACGCTCTGATCTATAAACTGTCATGGGGATGGTGTAGCATCGAGCAGTATTTGATTCTATTGTTCATGGGGTCCCCATGAGTAGGGGTCAACAATGAGAATGAAATTCATACATTTGCTTAACAAATATTTACTGAGAGGCGCTGTCCTAGATGTTGGTAATATTAACAGGCAGCATTAAGAGCTGTATAGAAAAATAAAGCAGGGTAAAGGAATAGTGAGGGAAACACTAATTTTAAATAGAGTGGCTTCAGGGGTGGATTATCCAATAGGCAAGGCAAGCGTGGTGCTTACCTTGCTTACCGGATTGTCTGTAGTGAACAATTTCACACTTTTCACGACATCACAGATTCTGCTTCTAGCTATGGCTGGCATCTGTCTCTCTCCGAACCCCACAGCACGTTCCTGCAGAATCAAAGGCTCATTTTAAATTTACAGTCCCTGGCAGGTGTGGATGACCTGGTAAGCAAGGTAAGCATGGGCTTACTTGTGCTTATTTACTCATCTGTCTGTAGTAAACAATTTCACATGGGTTTCATCACATCTTTGATGTGAAATTGTTCACTACAGATGATGTGGTAAGCACTATGCTTACCTTGCCTATCAGATAATCCACCCCTGGGTGTCTGGGAAGGGTCTCTCTGAGAAGGTGGCATTTGTATTTACCAGCCCTGCAGGGAATTTCTGATGCACACTCAAGTTTGAAAGCCACTGAGCTAGAACATGAGCTCTATATTTTGTCTGTTTTTTTCTGTATCTTAAGCACCTAGAACAGTGCCTAGCATATAGTAGGAATTCCACATATACATGAAGGATTGAATGTATAAATACTGCGAACTGCTGGGAAGAAAATATTAATATATCATTGATTGGGTATTGGAACAGCATGGTTTTATTTCTACTCTACTGTGTTTTCCACATTTTTATTACTTTTAAAATGGACATATGCACCTATTAAAACAACAGAAAAGATCTTTACTTTCCCAACTACAGTCTTCATTCAGCTTCTGCCTTTGAAGAATGGGAGACACAGTGTCCTGTTTTAGGACGTTTGTGTGGCTTTGCAGTCCATTTAGTATTTATAATAATTATTTATCAACTCAATATTATATTAAGCACCTACAGCCATAATTTCTAGTCTTGGTTTTGCAACATCTGAAGAGGTCTCTCCAAATACCTCAGAAAAAAACCTAAACCAAACCCGTTGCCGTCGAGTCGATTCAAACTCATAGCTACCCTATAGGACAGGGTAGAACTGCCATATAGGGTTTCTAAGGAGCGGCTGGTGGATTTGAACTGCCGGCCTTTTGGTTAGCAGTCAAGCTCTTAACCACTGTGCCATCAGGGCTCCTAATACCTCAGAGTGCTATAAAATTCTTAATACAATTAATACGTTAAGTGTCTAGAGCCGTATTTCTCATTTGGGTTTTGTAGCACCTGAAGGTGTGTCTCCACATGTTTTAAATTAGTGTCATAAAATTATTGAAAGTTTTTCATTTTAATTCACTTAAATTTCAATAATTTTACGTCAATAGTTAAGACATGGAAACACAGAAAAAATAATCAGTGTAGAGTACCATATGCAGCAGATTGGTAGACACCAATTACTCACTGACTGCAGAATTTTAATTATTTCATCTCTCTTCATATTCTTTGGTGAATTTTGTTTTTATACCTAAGTCTCTTTCCCTAAGGATTTACTTTCAAAAACAATGGTACTTGGTAGTTACTGAACCCTTGCTATGCTTGGCACTTGCTGAGACCTTGTTATATGTAGTATCTCTTGTAACCCTTTCAACAACTCCAGATGAGGAATCAGGCTTAGAGGGATCTGATGCTGTTAGCTCTCAATGATATGAAATCAAGTAAATTCTATAGTGGTCTAATAGTGGATGCAGGTCATAGAAATGCCCCAGTGGGGGGCACCAGAAGCAAATTAACCACGTATTTTTAAGATCCTGGTGAAGCCAGATACCTCTATAACAAAGGGGCCAAGGCTAGTCATTCTCACCTTGGTTGAACATAAAGGTGGCTTTCCTCTAGCTACATCTTTCAGAGCTTGCTGCCTCTATTTTATTCTATGTCTCTGCACTTTACCAAACCAGACAGAGTCTGTATTTCAGAGTGAGTCATTTACATGTGACTGGTTGAGAAAAGTGTGTGGGCTCGGGGAGAGAGTTGTTTGAAGTGGCTCATTGTTTCTGGTGCCCATTCTACACAGTATGCAGTTCTGCTGTTTTCTGTTTGTAGTTCATTTATCTCACTACATGGAAAATCTATGTAATTTTTCTAAATGATCAGAAAAAATACAGTGAAGCCAAATAACGCTGTTTTAGTTATATGCTGTTGCTTTGAAGCTGAAGCCTGTTCTTTGTTAAAAGGGGAGATTAGTAAATTTTAGGTATTAAAGACATAACCAAAAAAAAGCAAACCAACTGCTGTCAAGTCAATTTTGACTTACAGCAACCCTACAGGACAGAGTAGAACTGCCCCATAGGGTTTCCAAGGCTGTAAATCTTTACGGAAGCAGACTGCCGCATCTTTCTCCTGCAGGGTGACTGGTAGGTTTGAATTGCCAACATTTGGTTAGCAGCCAAGCACTTTAACCACTGTACCACCAGGGCTCCATTAAAGACATACTAGCACTAAAATATTCCCGAGAAAGATGATCTCACCAAATGCAGAAATTATTGAACAGTATTATAATATCACATGCAAGTAAAATTTTGCTGAAGATTATTCAAAAGTGGCTGCAGCAGTATATTGTCAGGGAGCTGCCAGAAATTCAGGCCGGATTCAGAAGAGGAAAGAACCAGGGATATCATTGCTGTTAGATGGATCCTGGCTGAAAGCAGAGAATACCGGAAAGATGTTTACCTATGTTTTATTGACTATGCAGAGGCATTTGACTGTGTAGAGCATAACAAATTATGGATAATGTTGTGAAGAATGGGAATTCCAGAACACTTAATTTTGCTCATGAGGAACCTGTGCATAGATCAAGAGGCAGTTGTTCAAACAGAATAAGGGGATACCGCATGGTTTAAAGTCAGGAAAGGTGTGCGTCAGGGTTGTATCCTTTCACATATCTATTCAATCCGTATGCTGAGCAAATAATCCGAGAAGCTGGACTCCATGAAGAAGAATGGGGTATCATGATTAGAGGAAGACTCATTAACAACCTGCATTATGCTGATGCCACAACCTTGCTTGCTGAAAATGAAGAGGACTTGAAGCACTTACTGATGAAGATCAAAGACCACAGACTTCAGTATGGAGTACACCTCAACATAAAGAAAACAGAAATCTTCACAGCTGGACCAATAAGCAACATCATGATAACCTAAGAAAAGATTGAAGTTGTCAAGGATTTCATTTTACTTGGATCCACAATGAACGCCCATGGAAGTAGCGGTCAAGAAATCCAAAGACACATTGCATTGGGCAAGTCTGCTGCAAAAAAAACCTGTTTAAAGTGTTGAAAAGCAAAGATGTCACCTTGAAGACTAAGGTGCACCTGACCCAAGCCATGGTGTTTTCAGTCGCCTCATATGTATGTGAAAGCTAGATGATGAATAAGGAAGACCGAAGAATTGATGCCTTTAAATTGTGGTGTTGGTGAAGAATATTGAATATACCGTGGACTGCCAAAAGAATGAACAAATCTGTCTTGGAAGAAGTACAACCAGAATGCTCCTTATAAGCAAGGATGGCAAGACTACGTCTATGTACTTTGGACATGTTATCAGGAGAGATCAGTCCCTGGAGAAGGACATCATGCTTGGTAGAGTAGAGGGTCAGCAAAAAAGAGGAAGATTCTCAACGAGATAAATTGACACAGTGGGTACAACATTGGGATCAAGCATAACAAGGATCATGAGGATGGCACAGAATCGGGCAGTGTTTCATTCTGTTGTACATAGGGTCTCTATGAGTCAGAACTGACTGGATGGCACCCAGCAACAACAGCAGCACTAAAATAACAAAATGGGAAGGCTTGAAAGGTGAGTGACTTTCTCACTGCGATTCAGTGATGTTTACATCATTTCCTATACCACCACCAGTGGGAGAAACACCATAACACCATGTAGCCTCCCAGTGAGCAGAGTAGGTGGGCTTCGAATGTGTTTTGCAGAAAAACGATGGATGAGGATTAATATAGAGAGAAATGATGTACAATAAGGGTGAAGGTAGGGGCAGGTGATTTCAGAGAACAAATATCGTTAAACCATCTTACTGATGAAAGTGTGCCTAGCTCCTGTTAGGGTGGGGGGAAAATGGTTGAGAATTGTTAAATTTGACCCATAGTGTTTTGTAATAAGGTGCTGTTATTGGCCTGTGGAAACCCTGGTGGCGTAGTGGTTAAGAGCTACAGCAGCTAACCAAAAGGTTGGCAGTTTGAATCCACCAGGCACTCCTTGGAAACCTTATGGGGCAGTTCTACTCTGTCCTGTAGGGTTGCTATGAGTTGAAATTGACTTGATGGCAACAGGTTTGTTTTTCTTATTTTGTTATTATTATTGGCCTATAGGGTCGCTACAAGTTGAATCAACTGGACAGCAATGGATTTGGTTTTATTGGCCTTTGGGGCCAGATAGTTGTTATGCAAGACTGCCCCAGGCATTGGTATCTTTGTTCCCTGGGCACAAAGTGAGCCCTGGTGGTATAGCGGTTAAGAGCTTGGCTGCTAACCAAAAGGTTGGCAGTTCAAAATCAACAGCCACTCCTTGGAAACCCTATGGGGCAATTTTACTCTGTCCTATAGGGTCACTGTGAGTCGGAATCGACTGGATGGCAGCTTTGGTTTTTTATCCTCAAGTCATCAGGATAACAAGCTCACATATGTTTTTAAATACCTTTCGTTGTTGTTAGTTGCCCTCGAGTAGATTCTGACTGACGGCAGTCTCCTGTGTGCAGAGGAGAACTGCTCGATAGGGTGTTCAAGGCTGTGACCTTTCAGAAGCCGATCACTTGGCCTTTCTTTCAAGATGCCTCTGGGTGGTTTCGAACTGCCAATCTTTCAACTAGTAGTGGAGCACTTAACCATTTGCTCTACTCAGGGAGCTGACAAATACCTTTTAGGAGTGATTAAGTACTCCTACTCACCAGGGAGGAGTGGTAAGGTCATTCTAGGCAGAAGGAATGGCCTCTACAACTGTATGGAAATGGTAATGAGCATTTGAAACTTCTCTTTTTTCCAGAAGAGAAAAAGAAGTTGATCAGAGATTTTGATGAAAAGCAACAGGAAGCAAATGAAACGGTGAGAACTGGGAGCAAGTTCTTGTTTCTTTTTCTATCTAGTGTTGATCTTTTCCAGAAATAATACTGTATATGAACTGATCACAGATTAACTGTTCCTGTCTGTTGACCTTGATTTTGATTATTTCTTACAAAATGAGGCCAGTTGATGGGAATGGGTGTTGAGGGGGGTTGACAAACAAATGGGTAAAACTTGAAGACTCTCCAGAATGAATCTTTGATAATGTATTCCTGATGTCAGTAGAAAAACATTCTCATGCCTTTACCTGGGAGGTCTTTTTTTAAATCTTATTTTAAGAGCTGGCCATTAAGATATGTCACAGAAAGTGGCTCAAAGGGGTTCTAGTTACATTCCTTTTTTCTTAAAAGACTGCACAATAGCTGTAATTGGTATTATGAACAGGATGAGTTCCCAGCCAGGACCCAAAGCTTGTTGGAAGTTGCCCCAGGCTGCAGTGTAGTTTAACAACTGCTTCTCTTTTAATCTGTGGCTTTACTTTAAAAAAAAAAAAAATTTTTTTTTTTTCCTAACCCTTTGGAAGCTGAAGTCCTTCTCTCTCCATCTCCTTATGCCCTAGCTTCAGGAAACTCATTCAAGAAATTGGGGCTAAAATCCAAGCCCCTGGTAGTACTCTGTAGAAATACTTGCCCCTGGTTTTTGCTGCCTGAGAGTAGACGGAAAAGAAAACAATCTTTTTAGGCCAGAGGACTTCCTTCTTATGTTGAAGAACTTCTTCCCTATCCCAATGTAGTTCTGAGAAGGTAAGCTTTTCTACATCTCTTTTAAGGAGAACCAAGCCACCACCAAACTGTGGAAAATATCTCCTTCGTAATGAGAGCGCTAGAAACTTTTCTTATACCTGTGTACAACTGGGCTGTAAAAATGGTTTGGTGGCAGCAGACCTCCTCATCTGACTTCACAAGGGGGTAGAATCATCAGTATCACTCCAAAGCTGATTGGTATGAGGAGGAGGTCAAACATATCTCCACCCTCCACCCTCCAACCTTTTCGATAAATTCTGACACCAGCCATCCCTCCCAGAGCACTCTCTACTTCTCTGCTGTGTTTGATAATTTGTTAACAATGGCCCCACAGAACTCACATACAATACTCCCAATTATGGGGTTTATTAGGGAAGTACCAGGTTGTAACTCGGGATCGGTATCAGCAGGCAACAGCTCGAGATCAGGATCAGGAAGCATGTAGGCAAAGTCTCCCTTCTCTCAGTTCCTCTTGGCCATGCAGGGCTCCTCTTGGCTCTCTCAGGACAGGCCTCTCTCAGCCCCCGGCCCTTGGCCCTGCTCAGGCCTAGTCTCTGCTCAGGCAAGTGATTTAAGCTCTTTAGCTCCCAGAGGCACCCTACTCCACCAGTAAGCCTCGACCCAAAGGCACTCAGATCTCTCGCTCTGTGGATCGGCACACCCTTTGTAACTGTCTGTCTTGGTGGGCTGGGAAGCCCCTGCAACCATCGCACCTCAGTCTCCTGTTTCTGCTGCTGCCATTTCTCTGCCACTGGATTCTGTCATGCTTGCTGCAGCTTCTCACTGTCTCCGGTGTTACAGCTCTCTCTGTCTCCTGGGTCTAGGAGGTTCTCAGTGCAGGGACCCCGGGTCCAACAGACACACTCTGCTCCCATCTCATCTTCTTGGTAGTAGTGAGGTCCCCTCCCCTGCTCTGGGATTGGCTCATTTTAAGCCCAGCGAAATGGCAGAACTGACCAGTCCCCTCATTAGGGTTTCATATACCTTATGTGCATGTTCCCACCCCCACAGTGTTCCATGCACCTTATTTGCTTTGTTAGCAAGCTTTCCAATCCCCTTGGTGGGCCACAAGCACCTTATTTGCATAGTCCCACCCAGTCATTTTGTGGGAATTACAAGACCCTGGCAAGAAAATGCCATACAAAAACGATTCATCGCACTGCTTGGGCATGAGAATGATGTCTGTTATGTCACCAGTCCTCTTTCAGTTAACGTCTTGGTAACATTTTTAAAACCGTTTTAGCTAATGTCAATTTATTTGTTTGGTGCTCAGATACTTTTTTCCTATGAATTTAGCAAAATTAATCAATCGTACCCTAGCCATCTCAGGCAGATGAAAGTAATTCAGGACCTTTTGTGAACATCTCTAGGTATTACACTTTACTTATTCTAGAAAAATGGAAATTTGATTCCCCAGACCAGCCTGATCTGGGCCCCTGGTATCTCTGACACTGAGACAGACATAGTTGATTTTCAGAAAGAGGAGGAAGAAGGGAAGAAGCCTGATGTCAGACCTTATTGTTTCTAGTACCTTGGACCTCAAAGTGCTGCTTGACAGCTGCATTAAACCATACCAGGCTACAAGGTTAGGATATTAAAGAGCCGAGAGTTTGAAGTTTTTGAGTCCTGACTCCTCTCTTGTGTGATCTTGAGCAAGTCTCTTTAAGTTATATATGAAATGGAGATAGTATTTCCTACCTTAGATAGAGTTATTGAGGATTAAATGACAGAATGTATATAAAAATGTTTTATGAGGTACAAGGTGCTTGTTAGCTTTTGCATTTATTTACCACATTTTTTTAATGTCTGCTCTATGCTTGCTAGACACTGTACCAGATACTAGGAATAATGAAGTGAACGTGTCAGATGTGACCCCTGCCCTCATAGAGCTTATGATTAAGTACTTATTTGGGGTAGTCTGTGTTTGATTAGTCCAAACTAGGCATATGCCCAGATGAGAGAAGAGCCAGGCCAATCTACTGCTATTTTCTGCTTTCCCAGCTGGCAGAAATGGAAGAGGAACTACGTTATGCACCCCTATCTTTCCGTAACCCCATGATGTCCAAACTTCGAACCTACCGGAAGGACCTTGCCAAATTACACAGGGAGGTAGGAAGCACACCTTTGACAGCCACACCTGGGAGCCGAGGAGACACGAAATACAGCACATATGCTGTGGAGAATGAGCACATGGTAAGCTTTTTCCTCTTTAAGGGCTTGTGGGATAAGAATTAACCATATTGTGGATATCATGTTATGAGTTCATACTAAACTTTTGTTTTGTTTCTCCCCCTTATCCTTTCCTGTATCCCTCCTCCCACTGGGCACCCACTCAACTGTATTTAATGCAGTTCTTTCCAAACTGTATGCTTATTTAGATTTCTTTGTATCCTTTCAAAGTGTCTGCGTGTGTGTGTGTGGGTGTCTCTGTGTGTGGAAGACCCTCTACAGCATGGATTGACACAGTGGCTGCAACAGTGGGCTCAAACATAGCATCGATTGTGAGGATGGGACAGGACTGGGCAGTGATTTCATTCTTTTGTACATAGGGTCACTGTGAGGTCACTATAAGTGACTTGACCACACCTAGCAGCAACAACATGTATGTGTGTATGTATTCATAAAACTGCCTGGTATATAGTCCTATGCAAGTGTTACCCATTATTATATCTGGGCTCTGTATTCTGACCCATTGATCCAAGTTTCCTTTTCTTCTTGGGTTTTTATTCCTTCATATAAATTTTAGAATCAGTTGCTCAAGTTTCCCCCCAAAAAATTCAGTTAGCTTTTTAATTGGAAATGCATTAAATGTATGGAGTAACCTGGTAAGGAGTCACATTCTTACCATGTTAAATTGTCCCATTCATGAACATGGTATAAACAAACAGCTGTTGCCGTCAAGTCGATTCCAACTCATAGTGACCCTATAGGACAAAGTAAAACTGCACCATAGGGTTTCCAAAGAGTGGCTGGTGGATTCGAACTGTTGACTGTTTGATTAGCAGCCAAGCTCTTAACCACTGCACCACCAGGGCTCCAAAACTGCTATACCTCACCATTTAGTCAATTATTTTATTTTGCCTTTTGATAAGTTTAAATTTTTTCTCCCTAAAGGTCTTGCATATTCTTGTTAATTTCTAGAGCTTTTATAGATTTGGTTTTATTGTAGATGGTATTTTATTTTGTATTATAACTTCGTATGTTCTTATTAATCCCTAGACATTCCTATCGTAGGTGGTATTTTATAATTTCTATTTTGAATGTTGGATCTATCCAAGCAAGTTCACTGGACTTTTAGTTCTAAAAATGTGTTTACTGTTTGGATATTCTATTGTCTGCTCTTTAGCTCCTTTGTAACAGAAAGTGACCTTCAAGAGGTTAACACTAAATGCTTCTCCCCTTGGCATGCTAGGCACGATGCAAGGCACTTGGACTAATGAGGTCTGTGTCCTTGTGGAGCTTTTAGGTTTTAGCATATGCCCTGATGAGAGAAAGGAGCAGACCAAACTACTGGCTTGTTTCCACCTTCCCAGCTGACACAAGATTCATGTAACCTGAACTTGAGATCGGAGTGTTGTTACAAAATTAACTCAAGCTTTCCTTTACATTCATATCAAGATTACTGAGCAACCCAGAGAATACAGAATGTTTCATATATGGAAAGAGACACTCTGTTGCAATGGAAAGTGAGCCAGATACCTCTCTAGCCTTCAGTATTCTAATTTATAAAACTGGACTGACTGATCAAAAGTTTGTATTCTGGGAGCAAGGGAGAATGAAGAGAACAAGATACAAGGAAAAGATTAGTCCGAAGGACTAATTGTCCACAGCTACCAAGGCCTCCACCGGACTGAGTCCAGTACAGCTAGATGGTGCCCGGCTACCACCACTGACTGCTCTGACCAGGATCACAACAGAGGGTTCTGGACAGAGCTGGAGAAGGATGTAGAGCATAATTCTAACTCACAAAAAAAAGACCAGATTTACTGGCCTAAAGGAGACTGGAGAAACCTCGAGAGTATGGCCCCCAGACACCCGTTTAGCTCAGTGGTGAAGTTACCTCCGAGGTTCACTGTTCAGCCTGGGAGTGGACAGCCCCGTAAAACCAAATGAGACTAACGAGGTACAGGAGTCCAGTGACAAGGGCCAGAAAGCAGAAGGGGACAAGGAAGCTGGTGATAGGGAACCCAGGGTTGAGTAAGGATATTGTTGATGTGTTGTGAGATTGTTAACCATTGTCATAGGGCAACATTTGTAGTAACTGTTAAATGACAAACTATTTTATTCTGTAAGCCTTTATCTTAAGTGAGAATAACAGCACAATTTGAAGAGTGTAGTCAGTGTCTCTGAACTGTGCATGTAGAAATTTTTGAAAGGGTGTATCTTTGACTCTCTGTATTTTCAACAACAGCAAAAAGAAAGTTGAGAAGTTAGAGGATTGATACGTTGTGGGGTTGTTAACCAATGTCATAAAACAACGTGTACTTCAGTTTCATGAGAAACTATTTGTTCTGTAAGCCTTCACCTGAAGTATAATCAGTCAATCAATAAACAAACAAACAAATAAATAAATAAATAATGTTCGGGTTTGGCATGCATACATTCATTTAGTTTACTGCAAGGTAGTCAAGGAAATGCACAAAAGTAAGGCTTCAAGACATTCATTTAGCATTGGAGAATCAAAATTAACAATTACAATGATAGTTTAAATATTAGAGTCTAAATCTTTAGATTTCAGGCTTTTACTTTTAACTAGTGGTCTCAGGGAGGAGGCTTGACTACCCCTCGAATTCAGAGGGGGTCTCCCATAGCTAGGGTGCGAGGTCGGTTGTGGTGAGCAGTATCTCAGCAGGCTTTTCAGTCTTTACACAGAGAGTCAGAGAGACCTTTTGCTTCTGTCTTCTCCAAAAATGAGCAGAAATCCAGGGGCTTCTATACCCTGTGTGGTATCATGTTCAACTATAATTAATATGTTTTATTGCCAGTTAAAGAATTGTTGTATGACATATTTTTTTTAATTTATAATATGTTTTATTGCCAAGTAAGGAATTATTGTATGACATATTTATATTCTTGTTTACTACATGTTTCAAGGCCAAGTTAATTAATTAAAAATTATGGAAATTAAAAAAAAAAGTTTGTATTCTGAAACCATCTAGAGAAGCTGGATAGTTAAAGGAATAAAATAAAATTTCGTGAGCTTTAAATTTAATGTAGCTTATATTCAACAGTACAAACTAGAAATGGCCTGGCAAGTAGCATGGAAGAGAAGTGGAAGGGGGCCCACAAGTATAGGCTGAGTATAGTAGAAGACTAGTAATACAGTTTTAAACAAACAAATCCTATTTCATGATGCATCCTAATTATAGTTTAAGGGGCATTCAGAATGATACTGGCCTAATGTTGCTGATGTCAAAACTAGAGTATTTGAGAATGATGAAGAAATTTCAAAGGATTCACAGAATGCTGTCACAGATGAGAAGTTGAGATAACATGACTTGTGAAGAGAAACTGGGAAAAGCAGACAGGTGGAGCTTTTCAAGTGAGATCTATAAAAGTGACTTTCGTCTTGTTACCCTAAAAAAAAAAAAAAAGCCAGGGCGATAAATCCAGACAGTCATTTTGCTTTTAAATTACTAGTTTCAGAAATTATTTAAAAAATAGATACATGTACCATGTTCAGTAGATTTGTTGTTCCACATCTGTCTGGAGTTGATTTATGTGATCTTTTTCTGCCCTTTCTTTAGGCTAATCAGTGGGAATTTTGCATCTTTTTTAAAACCTTTTTTTTTGTGCTTCCTTTAAGCTGTGGTTTATTTGAACTTCATTTAGTGGTTTCCTGATCCACTGGCCAACATACCATTTATCAAGTAAAAAAACTTCTTGTTACTTCTGATCTGGACACCCATCTTTTGGTTTCTTGATGGTGGTACCCTTGTGCTAGTACTCACCTGCTTGGTAGTAGGCCTCTGTGAGCTGGGCCCTTTGTTTTTGTTTGTTTGTTAAATTGTGCTTTGAATACCTACGTTAGAGCAGCATTCATTTCTGTCGATGGCTATTAATTCTGGCCTGTCCTTATGCTATCTATGCTTAAGATTATAGGTGGAGTAAAACTTCGCTGGGGCTTTAGAAAATTAGGGCACTGGAGAAATTAGAGTGGCTGGGGAAGATGACTTAGGCCCCAGATAGCAAATCACCAATGTAACAACTAAGAAGTTTTTTATTTGGACACAGGTGAAATTCTTCTGGGGCTTACCAAGAGGGTAGCCCCACTGTGTTTTCTTTTTGTCCAGAATGTGGTAGTGCCTCAGACTTCTAAGTGACTCCTTTGTGTGCTGAAAAAGAATAGCTTATTCCTGGCACCTCAATCCTCAGTACCAGTCAGGTGGGAATCATTAGGGGATTAATCTATTTATAGGGTTGCAGAGTTCAGTTGGTTTGCTTACAGTGCTACCAAAGTTATAGGGTATGTGCATTTTCAAGTAGCTCCTGCGCCCCAATTCTGAGCCACTGCTACTCTAGAAGGCACTCTCTCCAGTTCAGATGTATCACAGACGACAGGAAAAATGCTCCAGTGCTTTTTAATCCTCCTTTCTTAAGTGTAATAAACAGTGGCGTGGAAGGTATTGTGATCCTGTTGATTGAATTCCAAGTTCTGCTGTAGTCTGTGACTTTGAACAGGAGCTTGTATTTCATTAGCAGTTTTGATATTCTTCAATAGTAATGAAAGTTACTGCTCACTATATCCGTTTTTTGGAGTCCCTGCGCGGCACAAACAGTTAATCACTCGACTACTAACTGAAAAGCTGGCAGTTCAGACCCACCCAGAGGCGCCCTAGGAGACAGGCCTGGTGATCTGCCTCCTGAACTTGAAAATCCTATGAAGCATTTCTACTCTGCACATATGGGGTTGCCATGAGTCAGAATCGACTTGATGACAGCTAACAACACAATGTTTCTTCTTACACAAGGTCATAAGGAATGTGTTGTCGATGAATTTATAAATAGATGTCTAACATTTCCCTTTCATATTCCTGTCAGAATCGGCTGCAGTCTCAAAGGGCATTGCTTCTGCAAGGCACTGACAGCCTGAACCAGGCCAGCCAGAGTATTGAGCGTTCTCATCGGATTGCCACAGAGACTGACCAGATTGGCTCAGAAATCATAGCAGAGCTGGGAGAGCAACGAGACCAGTTGGAACGTACCAAGAGTAGAGTGAGTCTGGGCAGTTGGGGGAAGGGGCAAGAGTGGGGAAAGTAGGTGAGCCTACTATATCCCAAGACCAGAAGCTATAGCAGTTCTGACTTCAGGGAATGACCGTTATTTACGTTCTTATGCTTTTCTCAATTTTTAGTTAGCTTGACTGAGGGGAGGTCCCCTTTAGAAGTAGTTTTACCCCTAGGATTTAGAGGTCATTGGAAATTTTGTTTTAATGCGGGGGAGAAAAGACTGAAGAAACCTGACTTCTGCACTTATTGAAGATTGTCATCTAAATATGAAATTGCAGCCACTCCATCCTTTTATTAATTCCTGTATTACCTCTCATTGGCAAGAGAATAATAATATGTCAAAAGACACATAGATTTCAGAGCCACCGACTTGGGTCTTTTGGTTTTTTTTCTCATACATCTATTGAATATTAATGCTATTCTTTTGAAAGCATCGTCTACTTATAAGACCCTAGCCTTTGTCATGTAGAGCCAAGAGTATTTTTCACATGTCATAAAATAGTATCACTGGAAAGCTGTAGAGATTTAATCCTGGACTATAACCTTTACTATTACCTAAGGTAAGCTAGATCATTCTTGGAAGAAAACAGAAATTCTTAGGCCAACTGTTGGCTGCTCGGGGAGCATCTAATCTACTATCACGCTGAGAGCTTCTGAAAAACAGAACTCATTTCTTCCTTTCCATAAATGAGTTACTCTGCATAGGAATTTAAAAAATAGTGCAACTGGTCAGTGGGATGCTGTGTTAATAGCACAAGGTAAATCAAGCTGAATAGCAGACACTATGGCCAAGACTAGGGTGGGAAAATACCAGCTCAGTGTGGGGATTTGAGAATTTCTCGTATATCTGAATAACTGCAATTCTGCATACTTAAATCAGAGTGGTACCCTTCCCTCCTCATTGAAAGTCCACAATGAAGCACTAAACTGAAGACAAGCTAAAGTAAATGCAACTTGGTTACAGATTATGCTTTTTTTTAAACATTTCCAGGTGGATAGGTTGAATTTAAAAGCCAAGAATGGGCCAAGAGATTAGTTTGCCAAGGCCCCTGGGGAATAGGAAAAGGGCAGATGACATCCTTTAACTCATCCTCCAGCTATCTAGATTAATAACAGCCAAAAGGGAAAGGTCAATGAGGGTTAATTGCTTTCACAATTCAATATAAGTGCCTCTTAAAGAGGTAAAGGGAGTTAAAAAAGAACCAGATCACAAAAGTGGAAATCCACAAGCCTATAAAAGCAAATACAAACTTAAGAGCCTCTCCTGGAGTTTGGCTGATTAAATTCAAATCTTAAGTTGCTCAAAGTTGCTTTACAGTCACAGGCTGGTATACTTGAGTAGCCAAGGCGAAGGATTAGCTCAGTCCCAGAAATCCCCCAGAGCAGTCGGGATATAATGATTCCCGACTCTTCTTAATGAGTAGTATTGTGTCTTGTCATTTCCAGTCTTTTCTGCTTACACTCAGAAGCCATCATTTAAATTGATTTTATTTCGTGGAGTTTTTCAAGGTATACCCCTTTATGCCCATTTGTCATTTTCGGAATGTTCACATTCTACAGTGTGTACTCTTGAAAGAAGGGGAAATAATTGTCATTTTCTCTTCTCAGCTGGTAAACACAAGTGAAAACTTGAGCAAAAGTCGAAAGATTCTCCGGTCAATGTCCAGAAAGTAAGTTTTAAAAATAAAGAGTCACAAAATTAATTTCTTTTAACTCTTAATGGCTTTCATCCAAGAATGCCAGAGCTTATAATAGTGACTTACAAAACACCTCAGCCGTTGATGCCACACAGTCTCCCTATACTCATTACTACCCAGCAGATCATAAGAAATAAAGTATGGAATAGGGTCTTGTATAGTTAAGTAATCCTGGACAGAATCCTTTGTTAAAAGTATATACTGCTCTGAATACGCCCCCATGGAAAATTTACTCACTGAAAGGACTTCCATTCCTTAGAGAAGACAGCGTGTGGGAGTAATAGAGCTTTTATGTTCCTTGAAATAATACATTTGTAAAAACTATGTTTATTGCTACTGCTTGCTTTTGGCACTGTTTGCTCTTTATGGGAATTAACGTCTTACTGGTAGTTCTAGTCTTGTTAGCAAAAAGTTGACTTTAAAAAAAAACCTTGAATTAAGTGCTAACTGCAGCAAAACCAGGGGCAAAAGGGAGGTAATGTCACTGAGGCTAAAGGTGAGGCTAAGTGGGGTAGTGTGCATTATCTTGACCACAGGTATCCTGGCATAAAACAAACTACAACTGAGTCACAGAACTAGCAGAAGTGGATGGAATTTTCCTAAACAGTGGTCAAATTCCTTGTAGAAGACAAAGAAAACTTCAATTTAGAGCAAACATAGGAACCAGAGATAGGATTCTTGTGTTAACAAAAAAGAAAGTTCCTATACTACCTTTGGAGCTCAGTGGGTCAAGAGCTTGGCTGCTAACCAAAAGGTCGGCAGCTCAGATCCACCAGCCACTCCTTGGAAACCCTACAGGGCAGTTCTGCTCTGTCCTGTGGGGTCACTATGAGTCGGAATTGACTCAACAGCAGTGGGTTTATACTACCTTTGGAGCCTTGGTGGCATAGTGGTTAAGAGCTCGGCTGCTAACAAAAAGGTCAGCAGTTTGACTTTGAGGGACAGAGTAGCAGGGGTAGGGGTCTGGGGACCATGTTTTCAGGGGACATCTAGGTCAACTGGCATAACAAAGCTTATTAAGAAAATGTTCTGCATCCTACTTTGGTGACTGGCGTCTTGGGTCTTAAAAGCTTGCGAGCAGCCATCTAAGATGCATCAATTGGTCCCAACCACCTGGAGTAAAGGAGAATGAAGAACACCAAAGACACAAGGAAGTATTAGCCCAAGAGACAGGAAGGGCCACATAAACCAGAGGCTTCATCAGCCTGAGACCAGAAGAATTAGATGGTGCGCAGCTAGCAGCAATGACCGCCCTGACAGGGAACACAACAGAGAGGCCCAGATGGAGCAGGAGAAAGGTGGGGTGCAGAACTCAAATTCTAGTAAGAAGACCAGAGTTAATGGTTTGACTGAGACTGGAGGAGCCCCGGAAAGCATGGCCCCTGGATTCTCTATCACCCCAGAACTCAAACAGTTTCCGAGGCCAACTCTTCAGACAGGGATTGGACTGGACTGTGGGACATAAAGTGATACTCGTGAGGAGTGTGTCTCTTAGCTCAAGTGGATACAAGAGACTAAACGGGCAGCTTCTGTCTGGAGGTGAGATGGAAAGGCAGAGAGGGTTAGGAGCTGGTTGAATGGACATGGGGAATCGGGTGGAAAGGAGTAATGTGCTGTCACAGTATGGGGAGAGCAATTAGAGTCACATAACAATGTACGTATAAATTTTTGTATAGGAAAAAAAAAACGGTCAGCAGTTTGAATCTACCCACCACTCCTTAGAAACCCTACGGGGCAGTTCTGCTCTGTTCTGTAGGGTCACTGAGTTGTAATCGACTCAACAGCAACAGGTTTCATACTGCCTTTAAGGTCCCTAGGTGGCGCCAACAGTTTACTTTCAACTACTAACCTAAAGGTTAGTAATTCAAACCTACCCAGTGGTACTGCAGAAGATAGGCCTGGTGATCTGCATCCATTAAGATTACAGCTAAGAAAACACTATGGAGTAGTTCTACTCTGTAACACATAGGATTGCCATGAGTCAGAATCAACTTGATTGCAACTAACAACAACATACTACCTTTATAATAGAGATATCCATTTGGGTTGATAGGAGGAGAGAATAAGAAGGGTAGGGAGTTTACAAGGCGTTAAAAGGCACAACTAAGCTTCTAATTACTTTTCCTAAAGCAGGACCCATCCCTGAGCTGGACTTTGACACTGGAGAGTCTGCCCCAAACCCTTCTCCCAACTTATGCTCAGGGCTGTAGTATGTCACTGGTGCGATTCAATATAGCTAGATAATGATATTCTGTTTTGAATTTAAGTGTCACCCTGACTTCAGAAGTGGTATTTTTAATATGTATATTTAGTATTTTTTTCTCCTTCACTTCTTCTTCAGAAAATCTATTAAATTAAGGGAGTAGCTACTATTGAAGGCATTCTAGAATCAAAAAACTATTTTTATGCTTTGGTATCTGTTTTGCTAGTTTTCAGCGTTTGTGAGGTAGGTAGCATTATCCCTAAGTTACAGCTAAAGAAGCTTACAAGTTTTCACTTACCTACTAAAGACCTTTATAAGTAGTCATTGCTAAGTGACTGTATAATCAAAAACTCAACCTACCTATCCATCCTTGGCCCTAGGTCAAACCCCATAGAATTACAAATGGAAAGAAACAAGGTTGTTCTGACTTCTCCCCCATTTTGCTTCTCTTTATAGAGTGGTGACCAATAAGCTGCTGCTTTCCATTGTCATCTTACTGGAGCTCGCCATCTTGGGAGGCCTGGTTTATTACAAATTCTTTCACAGGCATTGAACTTCCTTACAGAGAAGGATTTGTGGACCAGAACTTTGACCCTGTGAATGAGTGATATTAGGGGCATGGAATAAACGAATTGCTGCTGTGGGCTAACATTTCAAGGATGCACTCTACAGCCAAACTGTGGGAGGAGGGAGGGAAGACGGAAAACCACTTAAATGTGAAGGAACATCAATAAGACCAGAATGATATACCAAGGTGTACTAAATGTTGTTTATGACTTCTTTAAATTTACATAGTACTCCAATGTATCAACATCCTGTGAACTGCAAAAAGCATATACATTTACAGTCATATTATTGGTCACTAAAATGGAGAGGAGAAACTACAATTATGAGAGTACACAAATGTTCTCATTAAGGCAGTATTGACCTGGCCAACCATTTAGTATCTGTCCCCTCAAATGCCTCTGGAATGCCCATTGTGAAACACTTCAGCACACAGTATTTTCTAAATTCTCACACGTTCTTTGCCTTCTGATTCATCTGGTGAACTGGGAGTAGGAAGTTGGTCATAGACAATGTGCCCTCCTTCCCTTGTCTGACCAAAACTTGAAGCAATCACATCCACTGCCAGGCCAGCTGTAGCCTTCACCTCTTCCTCTGAAGTGGCCAGCTGAGGATTGACTTCAACAAGATCCAGTGCTGACAGCAACCCTGAAAGAACAAAGTATGAAAAACACTCAGAAAATTCCCTAGCTGCTACCTTCAGTGAAGGTCCCACCTGGACAGGGAGAACAAATCAAGGTAAAAAAACAACAGTCGTTTTCTACTATAAATTATCCAGTCAGGAAGTCCCTTCCGCCTCATCCTGTTGGTTATGAATTTGAGTTACAGCATAGGTATAGTAGAGAGTAGGGTTGGAGAGAAACCTTTAAGGTAATGAAATGAATTATCCCAGTTCAACTAACAGGCACAGCTGTCAGGCCTTCTGGATAGGATAAGGATAAGGATAAGGAAAGGGCTTTTGGGAAAGAGGAGATAAAGGCGTTTCCAACTTGCCTGTTGGGAAAATGTGTGCTGTTTCCAGTGTGACTTAGAACCTTCCAGATGTACCTGTCTAGAATTAGGTGAAATATTAAGGCAGGGACAATCTCCCACTTCTCACTAGCCAGAGCTCTGTTCCCACTTTTGAACTCTTAATGCAGTATCTCTAGCTCTTAAGGAACCACACCACGTACCCTTTAGTATAGTTACTCCTGCAAACCTTACTGTCATTCCCTGCAAGTCTGACCTCTGAGGGCAGGTTCTAAGGTCTGACCATGTTTATGTCTCCCAGCAAACAGACCTGGTATCTTGGTTAAGGGAAGTCTTCATCATAGTAATGTCCAGATTGTTTAATCTTGGACTCTAGTTACCTTCTGTAAGGGTTTGGTAACTTCAGAAATGCTGTGCCAAAGTTCTCAGCACTGTTCCTTTGACTTGGAGCAGGCTGAGGGGAAGAAACGATTAGGCCAGAAGAACCTATCCAGGCCCCACTTCCCCCCACTTAACCTTCACGCCCCCGCTGCCAAAAACACACAGGCCCCACTTCTCTGGGGAGGTTAATTCTGTAGTTGGTTATTCTGGGTGAAGTTAATCTACCTTTTCAAGAGTCATCTAAACAAACTAGTATTTGAGAATGTAAATATCTGAGAATGTTTAGGGTAGCCATAAAGTCTGGAAACACCAGAGAATATTCCTGATGATTTATTGATACTACATTTTAGTACATTGTTATGGATTGAATTGTTTCCCTGAAAAAGATGTGTTTAAGTCCTAATCCCTGGTACCTATGAATGTGACCTTGTTTGGAAATGAGGTCTTTGAAGATGTTATTAGTTAACATGAGGTCATACTAGAGTAGGGCAAGTCCTAATCCAATATAAGTGGTGTCCTTATTAAAAAAGAAGAGACACAGGGCAAACGGCCATGTGAAGATGGAGGCAGAGATTTGGAGTGATGCATCTACAAGTCAAGGATTGCCAGCCATCACCAGAAGCTAGCAGAGAAGTTCAGAACAGGGCCGTCATAAGGAATCAAACACTGCGGCAACTTGATTTTGGACTCCTAGTCTCCAGAATGTGAGACGATAAATTTCTGTTCTTATAAGCCACCCACATTTGCAGTACTTTGTTACAGCAGCTCTAGGAAACCACTACATGATACCCTTAATGCCATTACACCCATTCAGTGCGCCACCCCTATTAGCAATGTGCAGTTCAGCACTGCAGAACTGCAGTGAGCAGGCAAATTACTGTAGCCTTTCCACCACTCCTGCACGTGGATCTGTGAGGCGCTGCGTCTGGTGATTTGTGTCTTTGATGTCCAGTGACTAAACGTGCTTTTAGCATATCCCAAAAGAAGTAATCAAGGGCATTTGGACTATTAAGAAAATACATTACTATATTTCTGGATTATTGCAACCCTGTAAATTAAGCACAGTGTCATGATAGACTTCTGCAGTCAGGAGGGAGACACAGGGGTGACCACTGCCCCATCTATAAGTTAGCCACTCTTGGTAATCTAGAATTCATCTTTCAATATCCCCATGGTAAAACTCCTATCAAATGAGCCTGAGTATAAGACTTACCTTATAAAAGACCCAAGGTAGTATCCAACTTCCATATATTTTCAAAAGGTAACTCCCAGTAAACTGACCTCTTAAAACTTATATAAGAGTAAACTATAGCTACTTGGCCTTGTCTTTTGATCTTAATCTGCTTCTTGATAATACAGACAAAAGGAACTATATCACTTTGACAATTGAGTCTTGTGTTTAATAAGCAAGTAAACACTTTTTTATTCAATATCATCTTAGCATATTTTGGTACAAGGGAAGTCTAGACATGCCTCTAAGTGGCTATAGCCTTCATTAGCTGGGCCATATGACCTTTACAATGGTTCAAGCAATAACAAAGTCTACAATGACATGGAATGGTAGAAGAGATCCCCTGCAAAGAAGATGCAT